GCCCTAACTTTTCTTCCCTCTTTCCCCTCTTCGTTTCAGCCCTAACCCATTCTCTCTCTGTAACATCCCAACCCAAATTAAAGGAATTGTGAATTAATTACTTTCAAGATTTATGAATTTACAATTTTGCCCTCAGAGTAGGGGTAATTTGGTCATTTTATTTCCTGAAGAAATTGAGGGCAGCGGGTTATATTCTTACGTAGATCGTACCGAGATGAGTCCGTAGACACGTAGTGGGCTTGAATCGGAGTTGTAACGAGAAAGTTACGATCAAAATACCTTCAATGGCATAATCGTAATTATTTCAAAATGGGATTTTAAATAAAAATCAGAAACCCATTTCTCTCTCTCTCTCACGATCTGAGACGGCAGCAACTTCTCCAAGTCGCCACCGCCACCACACGCCGCCAAACTGGGCGACACTGGTCCCGTTGGAACCGCCTCATTTCCCTCTTCGATTCCCGACCGGTCCCAGCTCCGATCCACAGCCATGGTCGCCGGAAACAGCCACGAAACAGGCGGTTTTGGACAGATTTTTCGTAAAATTTCGGGAGCTCGTTCGGATGCATCCGGCCACCAAATCTTACGATCCAGGTATGGATCCTGAACCTCTCGAGCTGTTTTAGCTGCTGGTTGTGTTAGGTTTGCGAAATTTCTGCGTTGTGGTTGTTAAATAAGCGATAGAAAATCTGCCGGTTTTGGCCACTTCCGGCCACTTTTTGGGGTAGGTCCAAGAACAAAAGTGGTTCCAAATTAGGTGTTTTACCTAGGGTAGGAAGCTTGGCCGGCGGTTTGGAGTTTTTCCGTTCGCCGGAAATTTCTTTGGACACCCACGCGCTGCTGGCGCGTGGGGTGACGCGTGGGCCACGTGTTGGCCTGTCATTGTGTCCTAAAATGATCTCCTAGTTGTCACGAGCGCATAGGAATTTGCGGATCTCGATTCGGATAACGTTTGAACCCCGAACGGATTTTACATATTGTGTGATTTCCGGATTCGATATGTTAGAACCGTTGGATCGCTCCCTTTTAATATATGTTGATCTAGGTATTCCTAGGATCATGTAGGAATTCGCGGATCGTGAATCAGAGCCCCGGATATTCCGATTTAATAACTTAAAGTTTGTGTTTTACGATAACCGTCCGATCGTGCAATAGTGAGCGATCCGACCGTCCGATCTGAACCAAACTCGTAGGACATGTTTCCTAAATTTTGTGGAACCCATAGGAACTTTCGGATTGTAAAATGGAGGGCGTGGGCCCGCGGGCCCGGTTGACCAAGTTTAGGTAGTTTGACCCTCGATTGACCGTGAGTCTTCCGAGGTAGTCTCACTCTTCGAAGAGTACTAGAACGACCCTTTTGGACGAGTCTTGACCGTCATTTGCTTTATGTTGATTATGTAGGTCTATGAGATTATTTGTATGGTTTTGTGATGGAAATCTTATGTTTTTGAATTTAATGGTTTAGTTAAATGCTTTATATATTTAATAGTTGAATTCCTTATTTTTGTAAAGTAATTGTGATACATGTGGGTTTGACATATTCGAGTGTCTTGAGTTTATATATAATAATTGAGAAAGTGCTATGTTTGTTGATTTTGTGTGGGGTACTTAGAATGTTAACTTGTGTGTTATTAGTACTACTTTAGGTACCTCCCCGGTTATGGATTTTATGTTTGAGAGTTTATTTTGCCCAGGCCCGTCGGAGTTTGTCCAGGCCCTTCGGAGATACAATTATTTTGCCCAGGCCCTTCGGAGATTTATTTATTTTGCCCAGGCCCGTCAGAGTTTGTCCAGGCCCTTCGGAGATTGATTTATTTTGCCCAGGCCCGTCGAAGTTTGTCCAGGCCCTTCGGAGATACATTTATTTTGCCCAGGCCCGTCGAAGTTTGCCCAGGCCCTTCGGAGATTGATTTATTTTGCCCAGGCCC